TGGTAATCATTAAAATAGTTCTACTACACTTATTATTAGTACACACTTTATCTACCACCGTAGAAACATGATGAAATTCATTGTAACTAAGATAGTCTTGCACAATATTGCCCAATCTCCAAGACAGCTCTAAGTTAACCATTTTCCTACCTTGGAATTTTATTCCCCTCCCCCCCCCCAGATCCAATTTAAGCCAATGCAACGTTTGACATATACGTGCGAGTGAGTGGTCGAAATTACTTAGTACTTTGCTTGCGAGTAATTAACCCAAATTCATATTTGCGTCTTGGGGTGTGTGTTAGACTTACCTCCACGTGGTGCACCCTGGCCAACGTATACTCATACGGCAAAAAAGTCCATCAACTGGCAGTTGACTTCCGACTTCAAAACACCATCACCTCACTGTATGTCGTATTCGACTACTTCCACAGTACTCACCTCAACTTTTTCACTCTACGTTTGTGTCTGTCTCTTTTACATCTTTGAAATACTCTTCTGTTCCCCCTCTCCCTCTCGAATTTTTTCACTTTGATGTTCCTTCTTCTCGGTGAAGCCTGAAGTCAACTAAACGGCTTATGATAACTATCAAAATGCCTGCCATTTGATATAAATAGATATTTGCGTCTTTGCCTATTATAGGGTTATAGTCACCTTTGCTCATTGTTATCTATAAGTTTCTTTAAATGAGAATATTTTGTGCACGATTTCAGATGTTTGTTGCTTAAGTTATTTATTTTCATGCTCTTAGTAACCAGTCGTCCAAATATTACTCCAGGCTCTCTTCTTAAAGTTCATTCCTTGTGATCCCATTTTGCGTTTAGAAAGCATAATTTATTGTTTTTTTTCACTTAAATCCTCTTACCTTCGCATTAAAGCATGCAATATTAAACAACATTACCAAAAAAGTTATAAACGCTTGTTTAAACTGCCAATTACACATAAAACTTTCTTCCTCCAACACAAGTGCACTATTTAACTAGTTGTAAATGTGAAATACCACATTTTAATGAATATTTTTGGTTTTGAATAATTGCTTTCGATCTTAGTTTTCATTGCGCTATTATGGAGTGATAATAATGAATGTTTGTTTACGTTAGTTATTTAGTCAATTGGATTTCGCTTCCGTTTGCATAATTCAAGGCTAGTATATTACTATTTTCTTGTCTAAGTCATCATTGCATATCTGAGACCTAAGCATCTTGACCCCAAAACCGTTACTAAGCTCACAGAAGCATTTAATAGGCTTAACCCCTTCTATGCCTTCAAATTTCCCTTGGAGAAACTACGTGTGTCTCAAAATACCCTATTTTAACTATTGTGACTAAACCACACAAGTGGGCATTGCCTATCCCCCCCCCCCCCATGAGTTATGCCCTGTATAATTCCATTGTTTCTGCTTTGACTTCTACCCTAGCACGTCGAAGATAAATTACTTTCTCGCCTATTAAATCCTCTACGTAAATGCATCTTTCTCAAAGATAACAGGATGCACGAGCTTTTACAGAGACAGATGACTAAGAGTTTAATAGAACCACGTGACCTTGAGTTGTGAGTGAAGAGATGCCTACACTGAGCGAGTACAATCTTTTCTGTGAGGGCAAGGCGAAATGATATATGATAGGTCGATTGACTCACTTCGTTTCCTTTGTTCAGTTGTGAACAATTCACGTGGCAAAGGTAAGTCAGTAGGCAAGCAACACGTTAAAGATCGAACGGTTCTGAGTCTTTGTGCAGGTACTGCAAGTTTAAAGATAATCTTTCCTATCAAAAATCTAATTGAATTGTGCTACTACTAAAGAGCGTCTTCCTTTGAAATTTAAAAAAATATAAATTTTCACCTAAGTTTGGAAATTATTTGTTCGTGTGAAAAATCTGCGAAAGATCGGTCTAAAAACAGAGACTCAGATCAGTGCATATCAAACACCATTCCGAAAGAATTTAGAAAATGCTGATGAATGCTCACTTGAGAACCTAATTAAAATAAAATCCAACACTGTTAATTTGCTTTTCGCCTTCTATGAAATTTTCGCGATCACATAAAAAAGTTTCCTCACTCTTGCGAGGGTTAGACCACCATTTTAGATAGCCAGGGTGAGAAGCACCTCGTAGCTCTGATCGTTTCCTCTGATTTAGGTTTGAATATGTTTGATTAAAGAGCGTCAAAATCTGCCTGAAAGATTACTCATATCACAATTGGTACAACCGAACACGATGTATGACCCTTGTCTAAGAATATTAATCTTTATCTCATCCTTTAATCGCACAAAACAAGAGATTTCCCATGTATAAGCACAAATTTAAAGTGATCAATGAACAAGCGAAAAGTCCAAATTCCTAAGTTCATTGGCCACCCTCCCACTCCGACAAAATTAAGAAAGTTACAAATTGGTATAATATATAAAAGCCTAATTAACTAGCGAATAAGTACCTCGATGATTTGTAGAACCCCAACCCGATAACCTCTCAGCCACCCTATCGTCGACTGCCTCAAAATAGCCAACCCCCCGAGCCAATCCGCCAATGCATTTCGGCTCACGATGATAAGATCGACGGACCCCAAGTGAAATGTACCGGTGACAAATTTGGCCTCTTTAGAGTACCAACAACCAATGAGGAATACGCGAGTTGTGAGAGGCGTTTCGATTGGTTGCAATCAGAGAAAGACATTCAAGAAAGATTGTTTAATCAGTTAGAGTTGGGTCGCGACGTTGGTAGTGCCCGCTGCCTAAAACCCGGCCAGGACGAGGTAATTATTTTCCCATTCTTCACGAACTTTGGTGTTAAAATTCTTTTGTGTACCTCTATATTTAGACACGTATTACGAACGCACTGAACCAGATAGAACGGGAAATGTCAGCCCTACGCTTGGTGATGAAAAAGTATACCAACGATAAAAGAAAATTTCGAAGGTTAAAAAATTGACCAATCATGTTCTCACTCTCGTATATAAATATCTTCTTCGGAAATACGAAAAAAATGAATGGACAGAAAATCAGTACGCATCTATTTAGATCCATTTTTAAAAAATGAATAGGATAGGAAATGAATAAAACTCAAGAAGGAAATCGGAGATGAGTGTGTGAGGATTTAGAATAAGTAGTTCGGAGTTTAAATGTTAGTGTCTAACATGTGGGTTAGAGATTGACTGAATTCTAACTATATGCAAGTAAATCCCGCATAGTTCCACGTTGACGATCGGCATAACTCCTTGCCTCAGCAGACATCAGGCGTCTAGGTGGTGGTGCTAACGGCTTAGCTGATTCTCCTCCCAAAGCGATCTTTACTTGGTCGCTTGGGGGATTGATACGTCTTGGAGGGATCTCTCTAAGATCAGTATGTGTTAAAAGAGTGCGCACAGCGGTCCCTCTTGCTTTTTCCTGATTCGACATGGCTTCCTCGGAATTCACCGTCTTTATCTATAAATATTGGAACAAGGTCATCAAAATCTATTGTAGGAATTTGTTGTAAAACCTTCCACAGGCAAATATTTCATAACCAACCTGAATTTTTGGTGGATAATTATATGTTGTTGAATTGGCTCCATTGCCAATTAAAGTAGCCATTTGACCATTTCGGTTTTTGTGATAAGTTGATTTGGCTTCTTCCGAGACGTGCAACATGTGCCTACGGGGTGTGGGTGGGGCATCCTTATCCATCTGTGCAATACAACGCGCCATTTGTGTCTTGGAGAGTTCCTTAGGCTGCGCCTGAATAGAACCCGCATTCTCTAAATATAATAAGAATAGAATAATCTAGTTTTGAGGAAATTAAAACCCCACTTCTTAATTATACCCGATGTTAAGAAAATAGATGTTTAAAAGCTCAAATTCTATCATTTTTTCGAAAAAATTGCCCACCTTGTCTTACTTAAAGGTATGCCTAGTTTTCAATCGATACTGTTAACCCCTGTCGTGTTTTTACAAACAAGCCCTCATTTCATGCGAAAATTTTGACATCATTTTGTGATTGAAGTTTGTAATTGTACTTATTTTTTTCTATCGGTTTATGGCACGTGTGCCTAAACAAACTATAATTCATACACACATTAGGTGAATTAAACGTCTTTACGCTTACCCGGTTCCATGGTAAAAATTGAATCAGTGTGTCTGTTGGTTGCAGTATTGGCTTTACTATCCCAATTGGAAGATGCTGGACTCCTGACTTTCTCAGATCTGCTTTCGTGTTGGGTTTTTTCTGGCAAAGTTAAATTCTTCATGCATTCGGCCACAGAACTACTCTCCTTATTATGGCGACAGTAATTTTGCGATTCTTTTGTTGGGCATCGATAGAGTGGTAGTACGGAATCCTCTGGCAGCACTGGTGTCAGTAAATCCTTGTGTCCCTAGAAAGGGAAATTTCATTTAACCATTTGATATCCTCTTGGCATGATTCGTTCTAATTTAAGAAATTTGCCACATTGATGTGCATTAAATTGGGACGAAAGTGGAATAACCTATGAATGGAAGTGACATCGACTATTATCATACTGTGGGATCACATTTACCCTAATTTCCTAATATGCGGTAACTGAGTAGCCCATCATCTGCTATACCAATACTTTTAATTTTAACCTGATAACACTTAGAAGCTCCGAATTCACCTTTCGAATGGATCAGAAAAACTTGTTTTTTCAATTTTTGAGCTTGTTTCCTAAATTGGTCTGAAAATAGGCTGATTAATCAATGTTTCTTCTGTTTAACCCTATAACGCACTTAGGACCATACAGTCCTCTTTCAAAACAAGCTCCATTGATACTAGGCTCGTGACAGAAGGCGCTATTGCCATTTGAAACATTTGCAATAATTTTTCGAGAATATCTAAATGAAAATGGAAACTCACTCCGGGGGAAACAACTAGCCTTTTCGTTTTGCACAAACTCCATTGTAAAACACAGGCAGTAATTAGATGATGGGAAGTTTTGAAGGAACAAAATATATTTTTAATTTACATTTAAAGTTAGTACTTAGGTATGAAGCTGTGAAGACATCAACGTTGAGATTAGAAAGAGATACACACACTGAGACCAAGTTATTGTGTTTAAGACTAGGCTTAATGGATCAAAACTGTCCATCTTAATAATGGGACACTAAAAAATCGAATTAGCAGATGGAAAACCCAATTCGATTTCATTGAATAGAAAGATTGCAAAACTCTGAGACTTTATAAGAAAGCAAATAGAAAAAACGATTAGTTGAAATGGGTTATTTTTTCAGACTCATTTTGATTTCGTCAAGTTATTATACTTGCCGATTAAAACAGTTCCATTTCGGTTCATAATTATGAGCACCTGGACAGTCGAAATCTTCCCAAAAAGGTACTCCAAAAATCAATTTGCTGGCTAATTAACTGCATTTTTGATTTTCATATTGATAAGCAGAAGGCAAGCAAGTTAAAAAACTCCCTCTTCTACCCCTCCTCCCGCCCCCTCCACCAAATTGCACACAAACTTGTCTTCAATAAATTGATTTATCTGTCAACTAATTTTGAGCAGACATTTACTACAAGCGAATGGGTGGTATCAATTTAAAAGTTCTCCAAGAGTTCAAATGTTCAAAAAAATCTCAAGACATCTAAACACTCGAAGTGTAATTACTGGAAATTCAAAATTCCATTAGTTCAACACGGAAATACTTGCTCAATTGAAACAAATTTAACTAAATCATGCAAAAATAGCCATTCTAGATATTCTAAATGAGATTTACGTGGGTGAGGCCTATGCCTATTTGTACTTGCCATGTCTAGTTTACGTCTACACAGAAAGTTGATAAATTATATGATCTTAAAGCGGAGTGTTACTTCTCACCGCACGACCACAAACCCCCCCATAGAAGTTGAAACTTGTATTTATTTAAAGTAACTTAAAATTTACTAAAAATATGCTTTCTGAGACGTGTATTATTATGAATTCTATAAGAAGTGAACTTTATGATATGGAAACACGGAAATTTGGTGGGTTGGATCGAGAACAATCCAAGGTGTGAGTAAAATTAACTTCAGCCAATTTTCAAATTGCTGACTTTGTAGGAAAAAACTTTCATTATGACGCACTATGGTTGATTAAAATGTCAAATAAGAAATGATGACTTCACTGTTCTCCATTCTAAGGATTGCTTATAGCACCAATATCATGAGTTCACGTTTCTACTCGTTATTAAAAAACATTGCATACGACTTTACTGCACGCAGACAATAATAAGTTCTATTTATAATTTAATGTATCATTAAATAGCTCACAGAAAGTGGGGCAATAATTAGTTTTACTTTAATTTGAAATAAATTTCGACAAAAGCGCAAACTCACATGATTTCTTAATGCATACTCCACCCCATCGCCTCTAACTCGACGACAACTGCGTCGAGTATTCGCTATTGATTGGTTAGTAGAGTCATGTGAAAACCAATCAAAATTTGAACTTCTTGCTTGCGCAGTTGCAGGGCGTGAAAATCTCAGCCTTGTATCCACTGGTTTTTCATCGTGAGTGAACCAATCGCATTTATGGGTTTGTACCTCCATTATCTCCTACACAATAGGATGATAGAACACATTCGTAAAGATATAGAATGGGCAAAATTCGAAAATCGGTGGGGGGGGGGGGGGGGGGGTTGAACAGTCATACGAAGAAGAATGTTGGCAAGCACGTAATTTTCATGCGCCGATCTCACACACACATACTTCATCAAAGTACCTCAAGAACTCAAGAACCGTGTTGAAATTTTCGGAAAATTTTAAAAAATTACTAGCCTTCGCCTCGATACTTGCACCGAATCTATGAGGCTGTTTTACTAAACCAGCTGCAAGATTGCCTTCGAAATCTGACCAGTTATCAGTAGATCGGGCCATTTTTTGAGCTATTGCCTTAGCCTCTGCAGATCGAAGTCGTCGACAGATTGGAACGTTTGCTTCATTTGAATCATTAGAAAAGCCAGCCAAACGAGCCATACTCCCAGCAGGTTGTCGGATTTTGGCCAAAATTTCAGAAGCTTCGGGCCTAATTCGTGAGTGCGATTTCGGAACTTCAGCCGAGGAAGTCTCATGACTGAACCACTGTTCGGAATCACTCTTACCACGAGCCGCATTCACTCGGGCTGCGTATTTACTCCCATCCTCGTTCTCTGTCATTCCTTGAAGAAATTAACTTGCGCTAATACTACTATGCTCCTACGCGCAGCTACTAGAGAGGAGCGGTAGAGAGGACGAGAAAAGGCAACTTCATTGGTTTATTCTTCTATGGTTACCAAGGTGATTGGGCGATGCAAACTAGGCAAGGGGGGGGGAGAATTTCTGAATTGCAGATTTTGGCCAAATTTTCGTTGGCTAATTGAATCAGGGAAGTAACCATTCAGATCCTAGCGGTAATTTGTAATAAGTTTCACGTGCTTAATAGACTAAAAAAAACTAGCGACATGACTACCTTATTTTGAACCAAAATCTTTCCTTGATACATTCAAGCAATAAAAAATTAACATGAATTAGCAAACGAAATGCCATATATAAATTATTTCAGGATAATGCAGGGAACTATTCCATTAGTTGTTGGAAGTCTCCTAATGGAGAAATCTCGTACGACACCTCTCAGTGCAACCCTGATATAACCACGTTCGAACTGCTATGAAAGTTTTGAAGGAACGTTTAGCTTACATCTGTCTATCTATTTTTTTCGTTTTTTAATAACGCAATTTTTTTGAAAATAGGTCTTTCCGATATTTCCCAATTGTAATTTCCGATACTAATTTTTCAGAGTGAAATATTGATGAAAAGAGCTTAGATGGGATCAACCCAGACTATTATTAAAGTTCAATGACTTAGAAGTGTTTTTAATGAACAATTTATGGAAAGGTAATTTCTAACATCTAGAGTAAAAAGTTCCCAGAAAACAAATCGACCAAATGCTATGGGATTGTAAATTCTAGTTCCTGGTAGGCCCAAGCATTATATGAGCAGGAAAAGTAAATTCGCTTCATTAGATCCAAATAATTAAACACAACGGGTCGACATTTTAGAAGCAATTATGAATGAACTTATCTATTCAATTATAACGCAATGATCGAGAAGATTTGAAACAAGTCACTATTCAGGAGAATCTGGTCATATGACTTAAAAATGTGCTTAAAAATCAATTTCTAATCATGTTCAACAGGGAAGCTGCGAAAAAATTGCACAAAGAACTCAAGAAAGTGCACGTACCATTTGACAATGAAAATAAAAGCTTGAATAATAAGTTGGCATAAATTATTCTAAAATTCATCACATGACTAACCTTACACTTAACAATGCAATATGCATTTACAAATAATTTTTAATCACAAAACTAAGTGATCAAATGGAGTTCAGATAAGTACGCATTGATACAAAACGCAACATCAGATACTAAAACATCCCAACCAGCACGTTAAGGCATAAAATATAAGTATAAAATAAAACTAAGCGTAAAAACTGCACAAATATTAATGGTTTATTGTAATTTCAACAAATATATGCCTGCATAATATCTAGTAAATGAATTTTATTTTTTTGGTCTTGAGACAAGAGGGGCACCCTTTTCTTTTCCTCTGAGTTTGATATTGAGGGCTCGCTCCAACTTTCCGAGGATCGTTTGATTAGGAATTGCTTTCCCTTGTTCATATTCTGCGATAATCTTAATTATCAAAGTAAAATAAAATGACAAATTATACGGAAGGTTTTTCGTTTATCTTCGTTGCAAGTTCTTTTTGGGTAAGACCAGCATTCTGCCTACCCTGAGCTATTAGTCGGCTTACATCGGAAGACACATGAGCATGGTGAAAATCTTCTGTATCCTCCTCAAGTTTGTTAAGATTTTTAATATCGTGCTGTTTATTGGAGCCAGCAGCAAATTTCTTCTCAGTATGAATTTCTTGGCCGCTTCTCGCAGCAATGTTTAATGGCTATTCAAAATTAGTTTTAAAAGTAGATCTTACGGCATTCTTCTTTAAATTAACAGGTCTAACCCGAGGCTCCATAACTCAACAAAAAACGCAAAAGATACAAAGCGTAAGACCGCCGGTGGCTTGAGGGCAATAGCGAAATTGAACAAATACTGTTAGGGTGAAAATGCTGGGAATTTAAAAAAAATAATGATAAATTTCATGATCATAATTTAATTGCTTTAAAAGATTATTAAAATTGCATGAGTTTGAGTATTTTTTTGGTCAAATTCGGCTACAGAATCATTTCAGCACCAAATAAGCAAATTGAATGATAAATTATTACCAAATAGTAACTATTAATTATTTATAACAATGATTTGCAAGATGATAAGCGATAAAAGTTGATATTTTGCTATTTAAATTAAGTATCAAATGGCCCTATAAGTTTGAATTTGGTTAAAAATTAAATCCAGAATCTTTAAAATAAGTTTAAGTTGTCAATCATCTAAAGAGAATTTTAAAAGTATTGTTTGCCATGCAAGGTTTCATTAAGTCATTGCATTCGGTGAAATCTAAGTTTTGCTTCCAAATGTAAAACTATCGACTTTCTAAATATTTCATAAAGTTAAATCTAAAACGGAATTACAGTTAATAGTTTCAACTGATGACATTATTTAAAGTATATGGCCAATAATACCAATATCATTATGATTCACACTTGTTATTTTTCATAAAAATCGAACATATTACATTATGTATTTAAATAAAAATTATTCCGTAAACTGGTTATTGTTTCACACTGTTCTGGTTTGATTATCAGATATTTGTCGATAAATTGCCAACAGTTAAATATAAATCTTAATTAAGACTGTTCTACAATCCTATTGAACTTAAATTCACTTTGCTCGGGCCAACAGTACAAATATGTGGTTACAGTTGTTCTCACCGCTCTAATTTAATAGCACCAAAATAACGTTCATAAATAATTACGATAGATTTTAAGTTATTATATATTTTGCCCAAAAATTAGTGTTGAAGAAAAAGCATGCATCATGGATAATCATCATAAGCGCCTAGTGGACATGTTACTTGGCTCGCCAACTTCCTCCGAAATTACGCATTTGTGATAATAGTATTAACAAAACTCTTTTATCGAAAAAATTTTTTCTAAGATTGGAAATCCATGGTTATAAGTACATTACGTTTCTACATTTTAATAGCAATAAGGTTAACTTACTGAAATTCCATGATTAAATTCTTAATCCATTGAAAATTTACTGACTGATTAAATTAGTTCTTTTAAATTTCTGAAGTAAGATATAAAATGAGGTATTACAGTTGTATTATCGAAAACATGTTTTCTAAGATTTTCATTTCATTCAATGAGTCTCAGCCGTGATATATTAAAATAACAAAGATATTGTAGCAATTATGTTAATATATTGTGGCACTTTTAACTTAAGCTAAATTGTCACTTGTTAAGTAATCGATCTATTTTCGGAAAATTTTAATCATCCAAATTAAAACCGCTCATTAAGACTTCGTTCACCTTTCAGCCTTTTCATTGGTTACCTTCTTTTGTTTTACGCTAATGGAAACGGATTTCGTCTTAGACACGGGGGGCAATAATGAGTATGTTTTGATTTATAAGCACAATATGTAATATTTAGTGTGCCAAAAAGTACCGGAATTTTATATAGTGCATCTGAGATTGCCCTAAAAGATGACGACTCAGATTCTGAATCTTGTGATAATCCTAAGCCCCAACAGAGTTTCCGAAGGGTGGGATCTTCAATTCGCTATCATATGAATGATAAGTTTTCAAAATTAAAGCCTGGTCGTATTTCGTATGTTTTTCTTTACATTATCGACCCATCTTTCAGTTATGATTTGCGCAAAGCTTTGGGGATTTCTCGCCAGGATATCCCTTTGCATGTATACCGCATGCGGTCTTTGGGCTATCCGCCTGGATGGTTGCGCAAGGCAAAAGTAGAGCAGTTGCCGTCTTTTGATGAAGATGGTAAACTTAACCAAATTCAGAATGGTAGTATATTATTTCTACTAATATTTTTTTATTTCCAACTTTTATTTTGAGTTAATTCTTTAGATACTTACAACGTTGATGCTCTGATTGCTTTTCCGGGATTTAATGAATATTCCTCAAATTTGGTTGATAGATGTTATGAGTATAATTGTCCCCGGATGCGTAGTTCCGATGTAATTGAAAACTTCATTAAATCTCTCAATAAATCGTCAGTCAAAACAGGTGATTTATCTCTATTTAAGCAATCACTTGAAAACAAAGGTTGGTTGATTGAATATGTGATGTGTTCGCTGTGTCTTTTGTTATTATCAGTTTCCTTTACCTTTAGGTTTGTCCGACTTAGAGCTTGAGCGCCAGCGGATTTTATCCGAAATGAAAGCTCTTTCTGCGGAGACTTCGGTTCATTCGAGTTTGTTTATATTTTCAGATCTTATTTCCTTCCTTGTTCAATTATCTCGTTATCTATATTTTCCCCTGCAGCTGGTAATAATCAACAGAGTGAGTGCAAAGTTATTGATCTTTGTGAGGACCCAGACAGCCCCATTGTTGATGTTTCTTGTTCTTCGGGAACTGCCGAAATTCCTATTGATTCGGGTCATACATCTTGTATGTTTTACCACAGCACGCTATCCGTGTCATGTATTTCTTACTTAATTTCCTGCTTTGGGTTTCTAACTTTCAGACTCTCCGAAAGTGGACTCCTCGTCTAAAGATCAGGTCATTAACTTGGATCCTGTTGAGACATTCGCTGACACTAATAGTAGTATTAATGTAGATACATTTGAACATCGGTTCGTCAACGTAGGTCCTAATGAGCAAGTCTCGAATGATATTGAAATGACTTCAGAAGACCCATCTGTGTGTCAGATTGGATCAATATCTCTGTCAGGTATCTCAATTCCTGTAGTTAACTTTCTTGATGATTTGCCTTCAGCAAATGATGATAATGCATCATTAAATAATAACCTGACAGTCGCAAAACTGCCCAGTTTAGAGGCTTTTAGTTCAGGTATACAGCCCTATGTACCATTTGAAAACCTCCCTAATACCCAAGGTGGTTATAATCGTGTTCGCAATATCCTGAAACGCGTAAAAAATGCTTCAGGAGATGTATCGATTTCCGTTGAAGAGACGAGTTTTATCTTATCAAAACCAACGGAATCAGAGAGATCGAGTTCTCAATGTAGATCATCTGCAAATGATAGAAGTAGTCGAAATGTTAATTCAAGTCATTCAAGAATACACAATAAATCCCCAAAATCAGACCGCAGATCTCCAAGGTCAACTAGTAGGAATGTGGATCGGTCAGCGAATGAATCAAGTCATCAGTATTTTCAGAGCCGTAGTCACGAATATGAGAGCTCGCATATGATTAACGTTAATTATAGAGGATTTCAAAATATTCCACCAAGGAGGTATGACCAAAGGGGTAACTCTGGTGTTGCTTCTTATTCATCTGGTATCCGTTACCGTTATTCTTCGGGGTATGACCATACTCGCAACCCATATCCTAGAGCGCCGTCATATCATGGCAACTATTCTGGTTATCATCCCTCAGGTCATCACAGTTACGGTCGTTATTAGTTACTTGACTTATCCCTTTATGCAATGTACATATGGGCCTCTTCTCTCGTTTTGTACGTATATACATATGTGTATTATGAATAAAAACTTTTCTTATTGGCATTTTCGTTTTTTATGTCTGTTGATTTCTTAGATGTTGTCATTTTCGTGTTCGTCTTCTTTCACAGTTAATACAGGTTGTCGAGACTAAGACCTTAGGAGACAATTGTGGCTGCTTTAAGTTGATTATCTTAAGTCTGAAGTATTGGGTCGTTGATGATGGAATCAGAATGAATAATTATCAGAAAGCTGTTTTCTAACTTATTTAGATAAGACTTGAATAAAGACTAAGAATGATCGTGCTTACCTCTGCGTCGCCAGTTTATGCCGCTTTGTAAACATGGTTAATCCTGTTTAATGGATTAGCCATTCTATTAGAAATCTGTACCTTCAGCCACTTTTAAATTCCACCTGACAATTTATTTTAATAGTGCAGTCAGGGAACTTATTCTTTGTTCTTTTACATCTAGGAGCCCATAAATCCTCGACCTCAATTCATAAACGCATCCGAAAATAGGCCATCTCGCCGTCTAGATGACAAACCCATGACGGCTGTTGAAATCAACGACCTCTTAGCTCACAGTGACAGTGAGAGCAGTGCTGGATCCGATTGGAATGATGTTAGGGATGAGGTGGATATTGAAGAGGAAAAGAATGCGGCCAAAGCGGGGGATAGTGGTAATGAGTCCGAGATCAATATCAGATCTTTTGTTCCTTCTAGTTCTCATTTAATTCAAAGGACTGCTGTGAAAGGTATGACCGAATCGATATATACATTTTAACTCAAACTTTGTTCCCCCTAGATATTGGAGTTGGGGAACTATTTGAAACACCAGCGACCTCGGTGACGGATGATGAAGATGTTATGCAATACTCAGATGGTAATATTGATTTTTGCTCTTTGTCTAGCCCTTGCTGTTCAGTTAACCATTCAGCCCTTAACGAATACGGGCGAAAAATTCTTGATACGATTGTCAGAGTGGCTACAGATCGCCATGAAAAACATGTGGAACGAGAGGTTGACAGAGCTATTCTTGCGTCAGAACAGCCATCCACTAGTGGCACTGGAGATGATTCGAGTGCTGCCAAACTCGAAGCTCTGAAAATCTGTGAGGAAAAACGTGCTAAAGCCTGTAAACAGATTATATTCCTTAGTTTTTTTCCCTTTATGAGTTGTGCTATTTTACTTTCGTTTCTATTCTAGTGGCTGCTATTAATGGCCCTAAGGTTACAAACTCAAAGTGTGATTACTTTATGGCTACACCTACCAATATACGTGTGATGTAAGTTTGAAATCAATTGTGGATATCTTATGCTATATATAAACTCGTTAAGCTTGCAGAAACTTCAACTCATAGCTTTATTCATAGCAGTTCATCTAGAAAATTTAAGGCATAATAACTGGGAGGAAACGTTAAATAGCATATTCATTTCGTAAATGAAACTTTTTAAATAGGTATTCATAGTCATATTTTCACGCTGGCAATGTTCATTATCAGAAAGGATTTATTCCATCGACTCCAGTTCGAGTCAAATGTGCTGAATGATATATACAACCTTCGGTTTGCCATGAGAAGAAGTGAAAATCATGGACATGGCTCTTAAGAACTCTCCTTGACTTAACTATAGCCCCCTATTTACATTAGGTGTTGAATTTCATAAACAAAGGTATGATTTCACACATACTTTATTGTCTTGTTTTACCAATCAGCTCTTATATATTTGACACCATAGGTATATGTGCTCGTTTGAAAAGTCACGGGCTCGATACTTTTATTGGTGTATGATCAGACCCTCTATTATATGAGGGTATGCTAGTTTTTTCCAAGTTTCCTGAGGAATGGTGGATTTGACTATTAGTGTAATCAGACCAGTACAATTAAAAGTCGGTTATAAGCTTGTTTTTGGCCCAGAGACGATTGAGCCAATCATTGGACTTTTTTATTTTAGTGGGCCATAGCGAATCAGAGACCAAACAGTTCGATAAATTATGATAAACTTCTTCACACGGTAGCCTGTCAGGATTATGACGCGGAATTGACGTGTTGGTTTTATGATATGGATATTACACAGCCGATATGTGGCCAATCACGATTTTGCCTTCCTATCAAGCATGCATTGATGTACGCTCTGTCGCCAGAATGGCCAGCAGCACTTATTAAGTCTGTCACTGTGTAGGCCGTAAAATATTTTCCATACGCCTAAAACGAGGGTTTGTATTCAAGTTATATTTTCATTTATTTTTTTCCCAATCGTATGGATTGGCGTGATGACGGTAGATTACGTGCATAAATTAAGTCTTGCGAAATTTTTCCATTCTCCATTCAAGAAGGTGTTATGGTGGAAAATTTGCTACTATTCACTTATATATTGCTTGTAAATTTTTACCAGCTTTGGAATTCTCTTCCTCGCTCTCCATTTTTTGGCTTAACGTCAATTTTCTTTATGATCATCACTTTAACTTTGGTTTACTAAACACACTACTAGTGCCCCTGATACTATTACCCCTCCTCTCTAATAGTATCACTGGCTTTGTATAGTTTCTTCTCTTTTTTATTAGGTTTTTCAATGCTGTCTTGTGGTGATATTGATCGCACTGAATCCTCACTTATTAGAATTTGCTCATTTCTTAATTATGCCACTATTGACTTAAGAGTATTTCTCGATTGAACTGTGAACGCCTCGATTTCTTGAGTAGATTCATTATCACTTCGATTCAGCGTTGGGCTCTTATTTGAGTTTTGCTAGAAGGAATTCAACGCATGAAATTGCTTAACTTTAAAGAATGGATGCTCGCTGCACTTCCTTTATTTTCATTTTGCTCCAGTGCTTAGCCTGTATAAGCGGACACCTAGAGCTCTGTGACACCTGCTTGAGCCTTTTAATCTAACATAGCTCACTCAAATCCCTATTTCTATAACGATCATTAACTTATCATTCTTTGTTAAGTAGGTGAAATTAATTAGGTAAACGCTCTTAGTAAAATTCTGTTGGTTTATTGCTTGGAGGTCCAGTTTACCCCTACTATGATATCCCTACTCTCTACCTATCAAAAGGCTAGAGTGGACTTAGACCAAAGGAGAAGGAGCAGAAATGGTAAATATTCTGCATGTAATGACGCTGGCGATGTTTATGTTGTTACTACGTGAAGAAAATATTATCACCAACGCTATGTAGATGCAACTTTCACATGTAACACGTCGAGATTTCTCGGGGGCTTTAGTTTCAAAATTTCCTTCGGAGTCGTCAATCGGTTTAATCAAATGCTTGTGAAGTTTCATGAGACGAGTTTGGAGCAGAAATATGCAAATGTAAAATTAACTAACAATTTATATTGGGTGTTATCGTTAAGGAGCTCTGCCAGAATTAATGTCTTCATCGAGGATGCCTCTCTAGATTTGCTGTCTGTTATGGTCTACTGCAGGTTGAATGATAATAAATAAAATAGGGTTCCACGCACGATATTAGACATTTGAAGCCTAGGGAAATTGAAGCTGAAAGTTTTGTGCGAAAGGGCTTCATGTAAGATGGGCAAAATCTATTCAATCCCATTCAGACAGTAGTCAGAAATGACTAGTGGGAAGGACACTTATTGTTAGAAGTTTCTTATGCTCGTCTAAGTATATATATATATATATATATATATATATATGTATATTAGGTTGGCAACTAAGTCATTGCCGATTTCAAATAAGAAGGCAAATTCGGAATTTTTGTTTAAAAATATAACTTTATTCAATTAGATATTGGCCGTTCTTGTCGATGACCTTTTCCCATCGTTCTGGCAAAGTAAAAATTCCCCCTTCGTAAAATGTCTGGTCTTTGCTATTAAAAAACTGAATTAGGTGTGATCCGACATCATCCGCGTTGTTAAAAATTTTACCATTTAAAGAGTTTTGCATGGAACGAAACAAATGGTAATCCGAAGGCGCAAGGTGAGGGCTATATGGTGGGTGTGACAAAACATCCCAACCCAGTTGCAATAATTTTTGCCGAGTAACCAAAGATGTGTGCGGGGGCCTTGCGTTATCATGATGGAAAACAACACCCTTCCGATTTGATATTGCCGGCCGCTTATCTTCAATTGCATCCTTCAGTTTTTCGAGTTCTTCAACATACACATTTGAATTTATCGTTTGGTTTTGCGGCATGAGTTCAAAATACAAAATTCCTTTGTGATCCCCCCACCAGACTGACAGCATAATCTTTTTTTGGTGAATCTCTGCTTTTGATACTGTTTGGGGTGGTTGATCTTGCTTCACCCATGATCTCTTGCGAGTAACATTTTTATAAACTATCCCCTTTTCGTCGCCAGTAACTAGGTTCTTCAGAAATGGATCATTCTCATTGCGTTTCAGTAGCGAATCACAGATGCTAATCCGTTGCGTCAAATGAATTTCCTTTAACTGGTGAGGGATTCATAAATCAAGTTTCTTGACATAACCAAGGGTTTTTAATTTTTTTTTTCAATGCATGTATGCGACACATTGAGCTTCTCTGCAATATCTCGTGTTGTGCTGTGACGATTTGAATCGATAATGGCCTTGATATGGGTTTCATCCACTTCGACTGGGTGGCCAGATCGTTGTGAATTTTTCAGTGAAAAATCACCGCAACGAAATCTTTCAAACCAATTTCGACACTGCCTTTATTTTAAGGCTTCATCTCCATATACGGCACATAACTTCTTTTGTGCTTGCGATGCGTTCTTGTCTTTTCGGAAGTAATACAATAAAATGTGTCGGAAGTGCACGTCCTGTTCTTTCATTTTTAAATTGGGATAAAATCAAAACTAAAGAACTAAACAAAAAAATTATTTTTACTAATTAACTTAGAAGCCCATACAGTAAGAAAAAAATATAGGTTAGATGCTCTGGCCACGTTAACAAAACAAAAGAAAGTATAGAGTGAATCTGTCAATAAAAACGGCAATGACTTAGTTGCCAACCCAATATATGTATATATTTCTCCCTCTCTACGTTGAAAGTTTTGTCAACATTCTATTTTTGTAGCATTCCATTGCTATTAAATGTTAGACTCATGAGAAGAAAAAGGGAAAAGACCATAGCTCAAACATACAGTGTCTTGTTAAAGCAATGAATTTGCATGCATGATACTGGATGTGTTATGTTTGGTTGACTGCCTGGTTAGTCACTATAATAATCCAACAGTCGATAATTCAGCATGATGGATTATGCTTCTAGTGCCATCGAATACTGGGTTATTGTGCGCCTGCTAACATTTAAAGCATCCAAATGATACGGAAACATAATTTTACAAATGAAAGTGTCTAGGCATTTTACCACGTTGTAAATGATACCATTGTGGTATTGACATTCTCTCGAAAGTGGGAAAATCTCATTAAATGTTGCATGTCTATGAGTTATTTGTTACTAGTTGATCGTGTTCTTTCCCATCTCTTACCTCAATGAAATACGATTTCATTTAGTTAAATTGAAGCTCTCGTGTAATTCCATTTTTAATATTGACGCCTGTCTCTTAGGCGACCGCAAATTTCCTCCGAAATGTGGGAAACCCGCACAAGCAATCGTCGTGTTTTTAATTTGGTTCAGTTCGTTCGGGAGGCTTCAGGACCCAATGCAACAAATCTTCAGACAGAGACCACCGTTCTTGTTGCTGTTGTTGGATCTAAAATGCCCCCACGTCGAAGTCGCAATAGCAAAGTCTTCTCCATTTGGCGTCTCACTGATTTAACTACTGTAGGCACAGGATCTTCAAATGGTCGCAATGTCAGTCTCTTCCTCTTTGGAGCTTGTCATGAAAAACTGTGGAAGGAACCGGAGGGAACAGTCATAGCTATCCTCAAACCAAAGATCTTACCACCTAGTGAGGTAAAAACATGTAGTTATCTTTTTATCCTTTTGTTTTCTTTAGAATGGCAAATATTCGGAGAAAGGAACTGTTGAGGTATCAATAACCGTTGATTCTGCCCCTTTTGTTATGCTTCTTGGAATGTCCCCGGATTTAGCTCACTGTGCTGGCAAAACAAAATCCGGAAATCCTTGTTCGCTGATTGTCAACAAGTGGGTCTTTCTACTTAAATGTTATAAGTAAAATTATTGAAAGCAAATTAATTCTTTCCTCCTTTCAGAAATGCTTGCAAATACTGTGATTTTCATGTAAAGTCGGCTTACTTATCAGCAAGTCATAATCGTGTGGGATTCGCAACAAGATCGTGAGTATTTACATTCTGCCTCGATTTTTTGCAACTACTTTTTCAATTAGTGCTCCAAGTCTTCAGCAAGAATGCAATATTAACTTTGAAAGAACTATTTTGTACATGAAGTCCTGCCAAACATCTTACATACGAGGCTCTATGTACTGTGTGTTCTATGTTGTATCAAAGCCAAGTGCCCATTTCATTACACTATGGTACATAGTAATTTACAATTTTTATTGCAAGAAGTCAGTCCACAACAGAGGAGAGACGGCCGAAACGATGTTAAGAGTAAAGTCGAAGTACCAAAAAGGCTCACTTAATTCAAGCTTTGATTGCAGATCGTGCAATATGTTGTCAAAATTCAGCTCTCATACTTCATCACTCTGATTACTGATCGAATTTTCGTCCATGATCCTCAGTGTTTAATGACTGGCTTTTTCGAATTCTAATGACCGCTTGCCACTGAGTCGCTTACTCATTTCTTCCAGAAGTTGAGGAAACGAAATGGTCTCGCATAACAGTGCTGTTATATTCGAAAGCTGTGTTTGTATAACACCGTTGATCTTTCAATAACTGCGTGATAGTGTCTGCCTTTGAAAGGCACGCTTTACATTATTATTCGTTGTCTGTTGTGTTCTGGGATCAAGTCACGTTTGCTAATTCTTAGAAACTCCATTACTTAAATTCTTTTCCTGCCAAACCTTCTGGAATATGTTCCACTTAACAGGTCCCACGATTTAGAATTCGCAAAATAGCTTTCAATGGAAGACAGACACAATTTGGATATATGCTATAGTTAATTTTAAGATATAAGTAGTTGGGTGTACCTTTCCTCTGCACAGCTTCGCCGAAATGATGGAAGTTGGCTTCAATGTAGCCGTAAAATTCTCTGTTGGAGTATATGTGTGAATCATTCTATGGTTGCATCAATATTGTATCCTTCGTATTTGTGCTAAGACATAACCTATACATGGTATCTTTTATTTCTTCTTCAGTATATCCAAACCGGAAATAGGTCAGGGTCGTGGAGGATACATGTCTTCGTATAGATCCTCAGTTCCATCATCCCAGCCTGTCTTCTCTCTTCAGCGTCCTCTTACTATGCCAGCCAGTCGTAGCAAAGATATAAGCCAGAATGCAAAGTGAGTTGATGTTCAATTTCTTTTGATCGTTATGCTGAAATGGAAATAAATGCAGAATTGGCGTAAATGAATAAACTAATTGATGTGGCATTGCGTAGTCATTAGTATAATCCAGGTTGCCAAATATGCCTACAGTTATCCTTGCCCATAGGAAATGAAGCCTTTTAACCCAACGATAGGTGCCTTCTTTAGCCTTAAAGTGTACGGTTCGGTTATTGATTTAACTTTAGCACAATGGTTGGCTTCAAAGGAGGAATTTATTGTACGACCGCTCTTACTCTTTATTAGCTTATCGTCCTTCAAAGTTTCTGACATTTATTTATTTCTAATGGCAGGCGTTTTGATAGTTATCATTAGCCCTCTAGTTGAATTCGGGCTTCACAGAGAGGAGGGGGAGCATCAAAGTGACAAAAAGTCAAGAGGGAGACAGAATAATGATTCACCGATTTAAGGGAGACAGACAGACTGACACAAAGGCAGAGAAAATGTAAGATGAGTACTGTGAAAGGGGTTGAATATGGCATACAGTGGGGTGATGGTAGTTTGAAGTAAGAAGTCAACTGCCGGTTAATAGACTTTTTTGCGTAAGAGTATACATTGCCCAGGGTGCACCACGTGGAGGTAAGTCTATCGCACACCCCTACACATGATCTTAGTTCAGAGAGCCGAGAAGCTTATTGTCCTTCAAAGTTTCTGGCACAAAAGTGTAGAAGAATAGTACTTTAGTCATTTATTTTTACCGATGTTTACCTCATCGGATACTCTTTGTTCGATCCATTGTTACATGGACTTGTTATTTATTGGACAATAATATTGCAATAGGAAGGTATTTTTTACGTACGAGTATGCAAGAATAGTAACTGATAGACATACCGCCTAAGTGCAATGGTTTTCGTTCCCATATTTATTATTTATTTATTTATATCAAATGGCAGGCATCTTGTTGGTTATCATTAGCCCTTTAGTTGACTTCAGGCTTCACAGAGAGGAAGGAACATCAAGTCGAAAAAAGTCGAGAGGGAGGGGGGAACAGAAGAGTGTTTCAAAGATGTAAGAGACAAACACAAAGGTAGAACAAAGGTGAGGTGAGTACTGTGAAAATAGTCGAATATGGCATAGAGTGAGGTGATGGTAGTTTGAAGTGAGAAGTCAACTGCCAGTCAATAGACTTTTTGCCGTATGAAAATACGTTTCCCAGGGTGCACCACGTGGAGGTAAGTCTATCGCACACCCCGCATATTTATTATCAATACTATTTAGGCGTCGAAGTTTTTCTATCTTTCTTCCCATCAATACTCGAATGTCCTCTGAAGTAAACGACGAAATACTGTTGCGTGTTGAAGGTATAGAATTCCACAAACTTTCCATTCAATCTCAAAATGCGAAGGTCCATTAACAGATGCCTGCTTTGTGTAAATTGATCTGAATGTTATACTGTGTTATAGGGATCTTTTTCACTTGTGCTACTCAAACCCCCTCTCAGTAGTATTTTGCTTAAAGTGATTGTTTTGGCACATTTTTCTTTTGCTAGTCAATGAGAATTTCTCTAAATCTCCACACTTTGATGGGCGCACTTCATTCCTCTCTGATTGCTCACCTTTAATAGCGCTGACACCTATTTTATAGTTCGATCGTTTTGACTATCCGCAGTGGGTAGAGACAATGCGGGAGAACTAACGGGG